TTCTTGTTGTGCAGAGTCGTGGGTTGTGGCCCTGTGTGGTTGTTCTCGCCCGGTGGTCGTTTACCGCTGACCCGTCGTCGTTCCCGTCCCCCGCACAAAGGCAGCGACTCTCCGTGAAGAAATGGCCGATTTGCATTTTTTTTTTTTAATTGTGCAGAGCCGCGGGTTGTGGCTGCTTTAGTTTTCGGGCGATAAAGAAGGCGGATGGTGACCATAATGATGATGACTGAACGTCGGAGCGAGCTCCGACAGAGGTGGACGGAGGTGGCCGGTTGAAATGTGGTTTATGGATTTGTGGGGTCATGTTTTTGGGAATTTGATATGTTGTAGGGGTTTGATTGCAATTTGTTGATGTTTCATTTATTTCAATTTAATACTTTAGGCAAATAGGTAATATAACAGAATTTTAATTAATGCACAATATATTGTATTATTATAAATCTTAGTTTAATCTGTCGGTTAACCGAAATAATAAAAAATAATCGAAACAAATTATATTATTATTCATGTTTCATATCTAGTATTATATTTTATGTTTTGATTAAAAAAATAATATATTATGTAAACAGAATATATTGTGCAATCTAACAATTATTAAGGTGCAATCCGTCCAACACTATGGTGCACGGTGACTGTCTGTATTCTGCAACAGATTGAACCAACCGAACTTTTTGTCCCAAATCAAGTTGAAAATGAACATAATCAATTGATTTATTCGATTAGGTTAACCGAATTATCTTAAACAATCGAAATAATTTGCTGTTTATAATAAATTTATTTTTAATATGTTAATCACTTTATTAATTATTTTAATATTATTCGTGGTTGAAAAAATTCGAGCTCTGTCGGTTTCGATCTATATTGTGCAATATGATAATCGTTATAAAGTATAGCGTGTTGTTTTGTAAAGTGCAACGTGTTGATTTATAAAGTACAACGTGTTGATTTATAAAGTGCATTACTGAGTTTTTATAAGTATAAAAATAATAAAAATAATAATTGAACTGAAATATAAAAGTTCGAACCGAATATTTTAGTCGGTTTATTTTTAATATTGAGCAATCATATAGTTATTAACGTGCAATCCATACAATTATAATGTGCACTTTTATTACATAAAAACATATAAATCATAATAATCATATTTTTATATAGCTAGGCTCTTTCATTTTTTCAAAAGTAATCAAAATATAAAAATTTTAAAATTATCGAATTAAGCTTTAACTTTATTTCAGTTGAAATTGTCGAAGTCAAAATAACTTAAAATTTAAAAATAATCGAAATATATAAGAAGAGCGAAAAAATTACAGTTATTTCAAATTTGATTGCTAATGTGCAGCCTTACACACATTAATGTGCAATTTGTCTAACACCAATGTGCGTTCTGACATACATTTATTATTAGTTTTATATTATTTTAATATTTTATATTATTTTTATTTTTATTTATTATTTAAAATATATGTATATAAAAATACATAAAAATAATATTTTTTACTAACTTTATATAATTTCATATTTAGCCCAGGGAAAAAATTTAAATATAATAATTTTTTTTAAAATTGCCAGTAAGCCCTTACACATTATTTCTAGAAAAAACCAAATCCCTAATTTTTTTGCAGCTTGTCATCTATCTGCAAGAGATTGCCACGACCGACCGCTCACATCAAGATCGCCGACGAGATCTGCCATCTGGTCGACCGCGACTGAGACGCTGTTGTGAGTGACTCTCCGCCGCCGCCGTGAGGGGCTTTGGAATCCAATCAAACGCAGCCATCGTCGGCCGCCAAATGCAGGGCGTGGTGCGTCAGTTCCAGTCGGGCTCGCCGACAAGCTTTGGCCTCCGTTCGGCCACGACTGCCACTCCATATTGATACACAAAAGCGCGGACATGGATGACAGATGGGCTAGAGTGGCGGGCATGGATGACTGGTGGAGATGCCGACCTTCATGGCAGGAACCTTTCGGAACGACAGCGCCGGAGCAACGGACGTCAGAGAAGTCAGAAGCCAGCGGGAGAGATTCTGACGACGGCGTTTGTGGCGGAGTCGGAGATGGTCCGGCAGGAAAGCCACTTCGTGCGTGTTTGTGTATGTAGTGTGTGTGTGTGTGTGTGTTGCATGTGAAAGACGAGTCTCGTGTATGTGTTGTGTGTGGAATAAAGTGGGTGAGTGGGGCCATGTTAGGTGGTGGGTTGAAATTAATTAGGGTGAGTTAGTATCAGGGGAGGCACATGGGTTGGTTGGGTAGAAAAATTACCACACTACCCTTAATGTGTTTAAAATAAGATATTTTTATAGCTGTTGGATCGTCCGATCCGATGGCTAAGATTTATTTTTATTTCTTTCACTCAACACCATTCTCATGTGAACTCAACCCATTATATAGTTGGAATCATATGAGAATGGGAGGTAGTGAAAAAAATAAGAATAAATCTGCACCATTGGATTCATCAAATTAATGATCCTGATAAAGTCAAATTTAATTAATGTTAGTCAAACATGTTGTGGCAATTTTGTAATTAAATGGTGATATTGTGGTCATACATGCATTTGACCACACTGATCTGAAATATAGAATTTCAAACCTGAAATTGTAGATAGACCGTTTATGTCTATATTGTGCTATTGGATAGTCATTAATGTATAATTAACTAACACTACTGTGCACTTGCGCCACCCGCATTTTTAATGATTTGTTCCAAATCAAAATAAAACTAACCTAGAATAACCCATTTATTCGATCGATTAACCGATTTTTCCTAAATAATAGAAATATTTATTATTTATGTTATGAAAACATATATTTAGTGTTTTAGTATATATGTTTTATATTTTATATTATAAAATATACACTCGAGTTTTCTCGTAATTCAAGCCATCGATAGATCAGGACACACATATACATAAAAGATACATAAAATATACACTCGAGTTTCTCGTAATTCAACTCAGCGATAGATCAGGTAATTCCAGCCAGCGGCATATTGGGACATCGATGGCATGGAGCCGACAAGCGGAGACAACAAACCGGGCCATAGGTTCGCAGCTCGTACGATCAGTGGCTGTAAGTTTTTCTTTTCAACATAATCGACGGTTGACTGAAACTCAATTTTCAGCACAAATTAAATCAATCCACACGTGTGTATGTGTTTTTTTTTTCACGCATCAATACACAAGAAGCACTGCCACAAGTACCAATGTACAACCCATCACCGCTCGTCACGAGTGGTGGTTGGCCGTGTGCCTCGCATCCCTGCCGCCGCCGTGCGACCTGCTCGTCGGTGAGTCCGAGACTCAGCCACTGCCTGCCTTGTACGTAGGGATGTAAATGGGTCGGGTCGGGTACGGGTTTAGGCAAACCCGAACCCGACCCGCATATAATTTACCCTACCCAAACCCGACCCGTTACCCGGTTAGTGATCTTCGGGTTCGGGTTGGGTTTTACCCGGCGGGTTAGTTGGCTTTCGTCGGGTAAACGGGTAACCCGAGTTCTTAAATTTGGGTTTTACACGACCCATCTTATGAAAAAATAAAATAAAATAATTTTACAATTAATTATAATGTAACAAATAATTTATTAACTAAATTTCACAATAAAAACTATAAAAATAAATTATATTATTTTCTAAATAAATAATGAGATATAATTATTTATCTCTTATAGTCTATTTAATAATATAACATTTAAAAATAAAGTATTTAATTTTTTTATTGTACAATTAACAAAAAATGATAATAAAACTATAAAAAAATAAAATAAAATTCAACCATTGATCAAATTATAATAAATAATCTAATTTTTAATATTAATAACACATGACTACTTTTATATTATAATAAATTATAAATGTATATTTATATATATGCATATATAAAATTCAATGGTTGCGGGTAAACGGGTAGGGTAATCGGGTCGGGTAACGGGTTTTCCTACTATACCCGCACCCGACCCGACCCGGTGTTCGGGTAACACAATTCTACCCGAACCCGACCCGAAACCCGACCATCTCGGGTTTACCCGACCCAAAAATGCGGGTAACCCGCGGGTTACCCGGCCCTATGGGTTTTATTGACATCTCTACTTGTACGGGTTCTTCCCTGCCAACATCCCCAACTGCCCTTCTCCCATCTCGTCGCCGTCGCCCAGCTGCTGACTCGGCAACAAGCACTGTTCTAAAAATCGGCCTAGGCGGCGCCTAGGCGCTAGGCGGTGTCCGGGCGTCTCCGATTTGTACAAATCGGCAGAAAAAATCGGCCAGGCGGCTAGGCGGCGCCTAGGCCTCCTAGGCGGCCAGGCGGTTAGGCGGCGTCTAGGCGGGCGTAGGCGGACCTAGGCGCTCCTAGGCGGGCTCGGCGGCAATTTTTCAATTTTTTTTTTATTTTTTTTAAATACTAATTACATTATTTTGTTCTCATGTTTTCTTTAATATATATTAATATTATTATTTAGACTTTGTTGTGTGAATTTATTATATGTTGAGATAATTTTATTTTGTAGGTAGTTAAAATAAATAAAAAATAAGGTATTTACTATTGATTTCTGGGCCCCGATTATGCGCTCTAGGCGCTAGACACTGGTCGAGCGCCTAGCGGGCGCCTAGCGATTTTTAGAACACTGGCAGCAACGCCACCAGCGCCTTAAAATTCAGGAAATTCAGGAAGTGTAGCCCGATCAACATTTAGTGCAGAAAATTGAGTTTCATTATTTACCATGTATTACATTTTCTTTTAAGTATGAACCCCTTCGGTTACGAGATTCTTGCCATGATAAGTCATTATTAGTTGCTCTGTTTCTAATATGTAGTACATATATAAATAATTAAGTTAAGTTAGATATAATTGCAAATAAGTTTTCTATTTTGTAAATATGCAATTAATTTGAAATCAAAACCGCACACATGTAAATTGGCCAAATCATTATGGTCAAGGAACAACAATCACAAGATAAAAATCACTACCCATGGTGGTCTGCTCAACGTAAATTCAATAGAAAAGTTATGGGAGTTTCCACATATATTCAATAGAAAAATTACGGGAGTTTGCATACAAAGAGGTAAACATCCAGACCAACAAACGAATGAACATTGCATAATTTTTTTCAAATTGTTCCTTGAAAATACAGTGAACAAACTAATTGCAGCAGATATGTTGGTTGCATTTACTTTCACGCAGGGCCGTAAAACTCTAGCATATACCATGTTCTGCTCGAGACATCTTTGAGAAAAATGCACCATTGCCTTCTCAAGTCCCAAACAAGTCCAATCTAATAACTCCTCACATAAATCAGCTATTTATGGAAGTAAAATGTTCATAATTGGAGCGAATAGAGTAGTGTGTCCAACTATAAAACATCCCATTCAAAGTCTATAGGTTGGTCTTTTGTTTAACAGGTGAGACTCGCCTAGCCACCGAACGCATGGTGACAAATTCCTCGGCAGCAGAAGGGTGAATGCCAACCTAAAACATATCGAGTACATAATGTTCAAGTAAATTGTCCACTTTCCAACAATAGCCAAACTTTTTGGCTTTGTAATTGAGCGATACAGTATATTCCCTTATTCATAATCCCTACTTAATAGAACAAATTCAATATGTTAAAAAAGGACAACACAACAACATAAGTTAAGAGAGAATTTATCGCCAAGGTACATGTATGATATTTATGTTACGTAAACTATACTTGGTTTATATCTTACCATTTTGGAAAAAAGATAAATAAATAAAATAGCATGTCAGAAATATGTTTGTGATTCTGGATGATTGCCAAAACATTACAACTATGCCAAATCTCAAGGATATTTTTTCTAATTTTCCATAAGAAAATTCAGTCAGAATAATGTAATCAAAGCAATTTGTTGTTTACCGGTACAGTTAAATTGTGATTATAAACTCCAAGAAAATCAATGAGACATACCGTACTGTCAAACTGAGCTTTGGTGGCTCCACATTTGAGTGCAATAGCAATGCCCTGCAAACATGTAGTAAGTTATATATACACATATACGTAGTTCACTTAGGTAATGTTCACAATTTTCATGTTCTGTTATGTCGGTTAAGACGCGTGACCCTGGAAATGTGAGTTTTTATTTGGAAAATTTCATTAAAAAATTGCTGAAGCCAAAAAACCTAGCTGTAATGCACCTAATTGTTGAAATTCATACGATTAGCACCATTGTGCCACTAAATTCAAATATGATTTCTAATTTCTCGACAACACATTCAATACTATGCATTTGGCACAAAAAGAATGAATGGGACAGAGGTATCCATATGGTATGATGTCCGAACACTGCAAACTTGCAGTTAACAATAATTAGTGTAGTACTCTGTTATGGTATCCATTAACAGGAAATGTCACTAATTTTGCTTCTCTTATAGGAACTGAACATTAATGGAAAGAAGAATACTTTCTCTGTATCATTTAGCTTTCGCCACATTTTCAAATATCGAAAATTTCTAAAAATGCCTAACCAGACCTTTCAAATAGCATCCTAAATCACAAACATAAGCACGGACTCATTTCCATCATGCCAGACAAAATACGACCCAAAGATTCTAAACTTCTTTGAATTTGCTATGCTGCAGCCTTTTATATTTGGCATGCATAACATTGTTTCTTTAAGCTCTAAACTTAGGTTGCATTTTTACATACCATTTAGCAAAGAACACATACTGAAGCTCATAACCGGGGAAAAAAAAAAGTGATACCTGCATAATTTCAGGTGCATCTGGCCCACACATGGATGCTCCAAGAACTTTATCAGACTCGGCATCAACAATAAGCTTCATAACCGTTTTCTCTTGTCGTCTATGCAAAAAAAATAACATTGCATCATATCACTTTCACGATAGCCATTCAATATATTGAAAAATATTAACAGTAAATAAGTTCACAGAACTGAATTGATACAGTTCAATATGCAGAATATCAAATATTCTGCAATGTGTTTGTAATCGAGCCAGCCATAGAAATAGGCTCAGCTAAAAAAGGCTTCCGTTTCTCTAAGATACTCATTGTGATAAGTCAACAGATATTATTTGAAACAGATAAAAGAATATTCCAGTAATCATACCCCGAAACTGTGTTCTTCATTGGATTAAATGATGATGTGAAAACTAAAATATCACCACTTGCTTGTTCTATAGCCTGTTCCTCACTAAGACCAACTACAGATAGTGGCGGTATGCTGTCAAATAACATAAAATATAATTAATAAATCAGCAGAATAATAAAAATAATAAATAATATTTAAAAAAAAAACAACGATGAGTAATAAAAATAAGGATGCAGTAGCATGATACGGGAATAACGAGATAGAACCAAGAAAATATTTGCAGTAGAGAAAAATAGACCCAATCCTTAGACTCCATTGTACAACCTCAAGATAAGAATAAGTGGCTAGGGAATGGACTCAAGTCTATGATATCCCATGTCACAACAAATGAACCATGAAATATACAATTCCAGTAAAGAGAATGATTGAATACCAGAACACAGCACAAGGGATATGATCGTAATCAGGTGCAGTAGGCTGTCCACCAAAAACAGTTTTCTGCAAACAACATTAAAGAAACAAATGAGCATACAATATCACCCAATAAACACTAAAGTTGAGGTGAAAACTCGAAAAGAGTCATACTGCGAAGCAAGTTCCTTCCATCAGGGCAACGGGAGTTAGATTCATTCGATTTGTAACATCACCTATGGCCCATATGCTGGGTATGTTGGTGCAGGAGTATTCATTAACCTGCCATTGCAAAGTGAACAATTGAATACCAACAATGTAAAATATAACGCTGCATCACATAGATGAAAATAAAAGGCAAAATGCCAATTGCTTAAAAGACAAATGAGAACGGTTATAAATTAGATGTTTCCAAAGCCTCTCAATGCACATATTAATATTATCTAACTTCTTTATTCAACACATCCAGCTAAAGATGTGTATCTGCAAAATGCAACCTTAGATTTATAGCTACCAGCACAGCCATACTTTAGCATCTAACATATGTTAGGTAAGTATGATCAACAGCTTTCTGGCTGATTCACTTATTCTTTGTTTTTTCTTTTTTTTTTTTGCTCATTTTTCTGTTGCAAGATTATTCAGGTATGACAGCCCACCTTAATAGCTCCAGTCTTATCAAGCTCAACACCTACAGATTCCAGGTTTAGCCTTCTGGTGTTCGGAGCACGACCTGTGACCAGTGAGAAAGACGGTCAACATCAGCCCCTCACAAGTGTCAAAAACTACATCTTCACAACTTCTTCATGCCAAACATTAAATGGGAACAACTAGCTCACTCATATGAAATAGACAAGTTCAAATCACCTGTGGCAAAGAGGACAACATCAGCCACAATTTCTTCACCATGGTCAGTACGAACTTTTATACCATGTTCAGTTTTAACCAGCTGCATTACAAATTAATAGATGCATTTAACAACCAGCCAACACATATTTCCAGGGTTTTCTGTTATCAGGTTTGTACTATGTGTGAAATGTGATTCAACTGCATGGAAAAAAGTGAAAGCACCTCAGTTAAGGTTGTTCTGGGATGTAGGTTGATACCCCTGGCTTCCAGATTTCTTGCAACCACTGCTCGCATCTCATCATCAAAGCCTCTGTGACAAAGTTTTATGCATAAATGAATAATCAAAAAATGCATCAGCTGTATACTGAGTAAATTCGTGACCAGATCAAGAATCGTTATCTGATTCTGCACCAAGATGGAATGTATTTTGTATTTTTAACATCTTGGTGTTACTAAATTCTAAGATTCAAGCATTCCAAATTTAGTTTCTTTAACTAGTTGTATGTAGTAATCTAATCAATTTTCGGCCAAGATATCTTACAACATACATATTGCAGTCAAATAATTATAATATCTAATAAAGCACACAGTTGCTTTCTTGGAGTATTGTCATAAAATGTTATTCTGAAATGTGTTTGGAAGTAAACAGTTTCCTGATTGTCCATCTTGGATCAGAAATCAGAATCCATTTAATCCATATTTATATGGACTCATATAAGCCAAATAAAGAATCTGTTTAGGTGATCTCATTTTATTAAACATCTACTCTGCACTAACCGATGACAAGTCCAGAGCTTTTCCATGCCGCCTAGTTTGATGCTATCCAATTATAGGTACACAACACTAATTCATACATGATGAAAGATGATAATAGCTTACAGCTTCACATTGGCAAAAACCACAATGTGTGCAACAAAAGCTGTATGAGACTCATTATGTGATTTTTAGGAAAACCATTATTTCCACATCAAGCAGCTAGGAAACAAAGGTAATGTGAATTGTGACAAACGTCTCTGAAGTTTTATAACCTTAAAGGAAGTTCTTTTCTGAAACACAAATCCACTGTTGCACCCATCCCTCGCCAAATAGAAGCAAATTCAACAGCAATATACCTGCGTGTTACAGGAAAGGACAGTCAAATATCTATGTACGTAAATCAGTTATGGATGTCTTGAGTCATGCAGATGAAGAAGCAATAATACCCTCCACCAAGTACAACAGCTCGCTTTGGTAACTCTTCCAAGCTCAAAGCCTCGTCAGAGGTTATGGCTAATTCCTGAATAATAATGGAGAAACAGATATACATCACAAATAAAATTAGTTAATGTACAATGAAAAGGAAGGCAAAAATCTCACATCTGGTACATCACATTATTACCACAAATACTAGGGAAAATTGGTCACATTATTTCCATATATACTAGGGAAAATTTGTACAACCTGTACTTTGCGCGAATTTGGATTTTGCAACCTAAAGAGTTTATTATCATAATTTGCAACCTATAATACACAAAAAGCCATTAATTGCAGCAACCTCTGAGGACCAGAGTAGCCAAAATTGCCGGAAAAGGTCTCGCGCGCCACACGTGCCATTTTGAAGGGCAACAACGTCATTTGGCAATATGTTTAGGACATAATCTGTACTAACCGACATAACTCGAGCATCCTCTCCTTCTGGCATAGGGTGAACTCCATCCTCTCCGTCATTTGCCGAACTGCCATGTTAAATTTGTGATGGATGGCGGTTATGGCAGCGCCATTGGCTGCCATGGCGGACCCTATGGCGGGATCTTGGCCGCCATCCACCATTGATAACACTGATTCCATGGCAAACGAAACAGCAGCAGACTTTTTTTTTCTTTACTCGGAGTTGGATATTTATGGTTTTCAGCAGAAAGTAGATAAATTACGCATATTAAAGAAAGAGAGAGAAACTTGAGAGAAAATGGTTTCTGTACTTCTATGGCAAATTTGGCAATTCCCGTCACAAGAGTTTGTGATACATAATTTATTTTTTTTTTTATTTTTTTTTTATGTCAGGTTGCAAATTATGGGGAAAAAATGTTTAGGTAACATTATGCAAATTATGAAGTAAAACATCTTTAGGTTGTAAAATGAAAATTTGTGCAAAGTCTAGGTTGCATACAATTTTTTCCCTAAATACTATTCTGTTAAGAGGGCCAAAAGTCAAGTTGGACAAAATGAAAGAAGCAAAAAACTTATGTAAAGATTTGAAATCAAATTGACTTCATGAGGAGCAACTATATAATAATAACCAAAACTTAAGTTAAACTCATTCACATACAAGTTTATGATATTCAACAAAATACCTGGCCTGTTATATGCGGACGTTGAGCACGGCTTCCTGTTGCAATTAGAATGTTTTTTGCTGAATAATTAATTTTGGTTCCATCCAATTGAATTACTTCAACTTCATTCGGACCAGCAACTCTCCCTTCTCCTTCAAATAGCTTAACTCCTGCATTTGCAAGTAACCGCTTGTAGATCCCATTTAATCTAACTATTTCTTCAGTCTGCAAATTTGGAAAACCAAAGTGGATGAAACAAAAGTCTCATATTAACTCCTTATTGGATATGATGAAAAGGAAAAGAAAATGAACGTTGGAACAAATCCCATGAAAAAGGGTGCGTAAAACTTAATCGGAAATCGACAAGCATCATCAATGTTGAAGTGTTTCTCTTTTGCGGATTTCTTAGTGGAAGATTAATCCCAGTCATGCATTATAATGTCAACAGCACATGACTAAATATAAATTATAACATAACAAATATATAAAATGAGCTTCATTAGCATAAGAACCATCTCATACTTAAACTTTTATCATCAAAGGAGAGCCTGGACAGCAGCAAAAAGATGCTTCAGTGCTTCACTCATACCATAACAACCATTTTAAACGAAGATGCAATCTATAAACATGTGTGACAGAGGTTCTTCTTCTATGTTAAAGTCAAAGTAGACAGAAGGCCTAAAAGGTTATCGGTTGTAAACTAGATCTAAACAGAACCCAGGAAAGAATGAGAGCTTGAGCAGGAAAACCGTGAACAGCTTAAAATGTATCAAATAGCAATGTCTGGGATTCCACCAACCTTCTTTTGTAAAAGTTTCTTCCAATTGAAATCAATCCTCTCATTAAGTTCCCATCCATAATTCCTTGAGTCCTGCAATACCAAAGCTAATTAACAAAGTAATTTACATTTAACAAGGGAAATTTTTCACATACCACTAAAAAATATAAAAATAAATAATTAAATAGAAGAATAAGAAAAATTGTCAAAAGGAGCTCAGAAATGAAGCATGTAAAGAACCTAAAGCAGACAACATAAACATTGCATATGGAAATTGATCCTTCTAACATTTTCCACAACTTGAAAGAATATTCCTAAAGCCCAAGTCCTACCAACCCATGCTTCTTGACCAGTATGTATTGGCAAGTGAAGTAATGATCCTTCCCCATTACAATTGCATGCATCCACATGAAAGGAGCCACATTACTTCTTTCACACAATTATTGGTACTTTGAAATTTCAAACAAGAATGAGAAACTTAGGAAATGACATCTGCACATACATATTTCTCTTTCAAACAGAAATGTAAGTCCCAGTACTAGAGAGAGGAGGTGAGGTAAGCTAAATGATGAAATAGCATGAAGAAAATTAAAAATCAACTAAATAGATCAAACAGTTTCTCAGAATGTCTTCATATTATTGTATCGGACTCTCACCTCCAGTTCAGGCCCAAAGGAAGCACCATAGACCAGAATCTTTTTAGGAACACAACCACGAATAACACACCTGAAAACATGAAAAACGTCATATCCTTAACTTTATTCAATCTTATTATTCTAAAATTTTGCGTTATGAAAGATTGCATGAGAAAATTCAAAGGCTAATTATATGTAAGCTTTTTATATGTTTGACCAGAGGCTTGGTTAACCATTGGACCTCCGTAATGCAGAGAGCATTGAATAATAAAAAAGTGATCTTATAACAGTTGAGGTCTGCAAAACTTTAAAGTTGCCCTGTTACAATAAAATGTTAAATGTCTGAGCTCCTATTTTAACAGTAATAACTGCTAATTAATGAACCTCAAATCTGTATGAAACCCATATTTAGAATATACAATCACACTGCGGGAAAAGTTCAATGCATTTCAATATTAAGCAAACAGTCTTACTAAACACTTGCCCCAGTATTGATGCTCTTCAATCAGCAGATACCAAACATGGAATTACTCAAAAGTAAATGACGAAGTGAAACCAGAGAATGATCAAAATATGAAAACATTCAACCAAATAATATTTACATTCTAACAGATTCAGAGGCCTGCTATGGCAGCCTGTGGCGCCACCATAACCGCCATCCTTCACAAATTTATAGTGGCAATAAGGCAAAAACTGCAGTGCAGCCATGCCATACTGGCACAGTGGAAATTTGGTAACACTAAAAGGACTACAAGAAAGACAAGCAGTTGAAAAATGAAACATAGCAGAAACTAAAACAAACATAACAGAAGTATCGAGAACAATATATAATCTAGAAATAGAGATTCATCACCATTGACACTAATGTGCTAAGAATTATGTCCACTTACGTTCCGCCAACTCCTCCAACAGTTTCTGAGCTGATAGGATGAAATGGGAGCTCACAGATACCAACCTATGCAGCATAATCAATCAAATTTTATCAATCTCAAATTAACTAAATGAACGTGGCATTTTCCACAGAAGGGGAAGTAAAAAAAATCCTTAATCCAGTTAAAATAAAACGCATGAATTCAAAGTAACTATGCTACTTGAAATACACAGAGGTACATTCTATATACTGATTAGAGAAAGAGAACTCGTGAGACAGCTTACTCACTCTCAGCATAGCCATTTAAAAAAAATAAAATAAAATAACTAGAGATTATAAACATGTCAAACCAAAATTGCAAATTTTTTCTTTACTAGTTAGTACCTTAGCTCCATTCTGAGCTGAAAATCTTGAAGCACGAACTCCGCCACTGCCTGCACCAATTACGAACAAATCAAAGTCATAGTGACCCTCCACCTCATTGGTTTTGTCCAGCTCCCCATCAACCAGCATCTTCCTTGCCATTGCAAAAATGCTGTACAGTAAAGCTACACCACGAGATGAGAGCAAAATTAGGAATCTGCCGAGAATTAAATACATCACAACAATCTTAAAGTTCGACAAAATGATGAGCAAAATATGAGCTCAGATACAAGCAAATCTAGATCAACCTTACGCTTACTTTAAGCGTCTGGCAGAAGCCAAGAATGAATAATTTAGAGCATATTAAAAAGTGACACTGTAACTAACGAAGAATTATGATTGTAATTGATTAGTTCGACTATTTATGTAGCAAAAATGATTTTATCGCTCATTAGAAGCAAGCCCATCAGCTAAAAAAAGTTGACAAAATGGAAACCAATTTAACATCATGCTAAAACCAACACAAAAGTTAGAGGTATACTACTTTCATCAACTTCTTTCTGTATTGTTTTCCTCGAGAGCTATTAATTTTTTGGTACTAATCCTTTGGAAAGAAGGCAAGGAAAAGAATCAGATCAAAAAGTTGAAGAGAGTACCTTAGATAAAAGACGCTTTAGGAAGATTCTTGTCCTATCTTGCGTATAGGGTTTTAAATACGACTGTGCGCGGGTGGTGAAGGAGATGGCAGCCGACGATTTTGGTTCGATACCACTCAATCCAATCCGAAGAATATGAATAAAAACGGAAAAGATTTGTCTGGCATCACTTGAACCGTTGAACATCCATGCTAATGATTTAATTCTATTTTGTAGAAGTACAGATATTCACATTACAATTAAAATTAAAACTACCGGATAACCTAGTTGATAGCTAATAAGCAAGGTTGTCAAAATTAGACCGGTCATCGAACCGGTGAAGCTACTAATTTAATAGTTTACTGGTCGGACCATTGATCGAACCGGTCGAACTGATTTAATTAATATTAATTTTTATTTATTTTATATGTATAATATATAATTGTATATATTTTTATCATTAATTTATAGTCTATAATAATATTTGTCTAAATAATTAAAAGGAACAAATTTGTTTATATGTTTATGTAATGACCACATTTTATAAGAATATTATGTAATCTCCAACCAAATTTGTCCATTTGAGTAGAAGTAGAGCCCAAATAAAATGGGTAGAAAGGATAGAGATCTAGTGTTGCAGACCTTCCAGCAAGCTGATGCTGAGTGTATTTTGAGTATTCCCCTATCTATAATGGGTAGAAAGGATAGATACATCTGGTTCTTTGGGGAATATGGGCAATTTAGTGTCAAAACAGCTTATGAGGCATTTGCGCATAGGGCTTTGGAGAGTAGGGGTGCTGCTAGTTCTAGCAAGGGTTCTAATATTGAGAAGAGAGTGTGGAGAGTCACTTGGAAACTTCCTGTCAAAAATAAGGTCAAGCAGTTTCTGTGGAGATGTTGGTCTCAGTACTTAAGCACTAAAGATCAACTTGCAAGGAAAAATCTGATTGAGGACACTACATGCACTCTTTGTGGGGTAGAAGGTGAGGACCTTGATCACATTTTATTCAGCTGTACAAGAGCCAAACTTGTCTGGGCACTCAGTGGAGTTGATTGGAGTTGCTTGTCTCAAACCAAGCCTAACTTCAACTTTTGGTGTAGGGAAATCTGCATTGCTGGTCAGAGTGAGTATATTCAAGATAGAGCCTGTTTATCTCCATATATTTTGCGGTGGCTCTGGAAAACCAGAAATGTGTGGGTTTTCCAGCATAAAAGAGTTCCTGAGAGGCTGATAGCTGAAGGAGCAAGGGCAGAATGGATAGAATGCAATGAAGCAATGGTCACAGGGCCTCTAAAGGTGATAGCAAAGGCACAGCAACAGGAAGTTCATGTGGATAAATTTTCTAGGAAGGTAGGACATTGGTTTATCAATGCCAGTGCCTCACACTCTACCATGAACAACTTAGAGCTGCATGCTTCTGCTGACAAAGAAGGAGAAGAGGTACAAGAATGGGCAGAAAACATACACTACAATGGCTGCAAAGAAGGAAGGGAACTCTATGCAATAAGATGGGCAATGGAAAAGGCAAAGCAGACTGCTTGGAGGAAATGCTATTTCAAATTCCAAAGTAAAAGTATTTGCTGGAAACTCAACAGAAATTTGAGGCAGTTTGAGACTTGTTGCATTACTTTAGCAGCTGATATTTTAGATCTTGTACCTTTCTTTACTTCGATTGAATTTGTATTATAGGATCTGATTTTCTTTGGACTTTGTCTATGTTGTTTGGATTTTGGCTGTGAGTGTAAGGGGCTGCATGTAGACACCCCTGTGATATTTTCTACTAGTTAGTAGCTCGGTTGTAAAACTTTTTCTGAGTTGAATGCATTTAAATTGTCGTTGGAAAAAAAAAAAAGCCCAAATAAAATAATGATGCAACTCCCAATAAGCTTTAGGTGGTTTAATGTCCTTTTTTCTTGGGCAATTTACATACATACGGCTCTCATTGTAAAATAATACAACATTACGAAATTAAAATCTTATTTGCATATCCACCATATCTAATCAAAATATTTATTAGATAAACATAACACCTCTCTTTCTATTTCCTCTCTCTTTCATTTTCTTCTTCCCCCGACTTCTTTCTCCCTTTCTTTTTCTTCCACCTCTCTCCTTTCATATTAATTTCCTCTCTTTATTCTCGCAGGTTATCCTAGCAGCAAGGCTCCGTGGAACGTTGCAGAGATCGGCGGCTTCAGCTAAAGGGGACCTTGCAACCGGCGCCAACAGGACCTGGGAGCGGCGGAGTTACCGGACCCTAGACGATTCAGGGGTTCAGTCCAGGGCGGCGACCGGAGGGTTCGGCCGCATTCCTCGTCGCCTCTCGATTGGAAAAATCGAGCCCTAATCCCACCGGATAACCGCAACAACAACCCGTTTCCGATTTCGGCTCCTCGATTTCCAGGATTTCTATGCTCAATTTCAACTAATTCGCTCATCAATTTCCCCATGGCGATTTACTATAGTTCAATCTCCTCGATTTATTGCTGAAAATGAGGTTTCAAAACTTTATTATGTAGAAGGGAAAGCGGTTGTGTTGAGTTGATTGACGGCAGACGAGGTGCGTTCGATCGGCTTGTTTGGAATACGGCCAAGAGGACGCCGGTTTACTATGTCATCAAAAATAGAAGAACTGCTGGTGCGTGGCTCAACGATTGTGAATTTTTTTATCCGCCAATCATGTATTTTTTAATGTGTTGATCATGAATTTGTGAGAATTTTGTGTTGGGGTTTATGAGAATTTTTAGATTTTAATGTTTATTGTACGGTTATTACTAGTTTATAGGAATTAAAAGAAACTCGAGTGTATATTTTATATATCTTTTATGTATATGTGTGTCCGGATTTGCCATTGGTTTGAATAACGAGAGACTCGAGTGTATATTTTATGTACATGTGTCTCCCGATCTGCGTTTAAATTACGAGAAACTCGAGTGTATATTTTATGTATATTTTATGTATATGTACAACTAAAAACACTCGAGTGTATATTTTATGTATATGTACAACTAAAAACTAGTTTATCTATATTTTATATATTGAAAATATACGTGATCTTGTCCATTGTCGTTCGGTTGCAAAGGTATGTTTCAATTTCATAAGTATATTTGTTGTTGATATACCATATATATTTGTATTTACGTTGGTGTCTGAGCAAAACAATCGGTGAGATCAAAATTTGAATATGTTGAGATCTTCATCTTCAACAAAATCGGAGTATATCTTCTTCCCAAAATAGAAGAAATTGAAGTAATAAAATAAATAAAAGAGATTCACTTTTGATAGTAACCTATCCTAAAAAATCTGCCCACTCACCCTTCAAAATAAGATGAATCCGTAGTTGTAAGGTAGAAAAATCAATTAGTTTTGTATTATGGTCAACCACGTATGCTTGTAAATAAATAATTAGTTTCGTAAATTAACAAATAAAAGAAAATGGTCTCGTGCCACGAGTAATTTTCTCTTTTTTTTCTTTCTAACTGTCCTTTTTTTAAATTAACGATAAGTTTCTTTTTTTAAATTGGCCCAAAGAAACATTAAATTGGGCCCAAAGCAAGCATTAATAATTGTCCTTTTTTTCTAACTGCAAGTAGGCCCGCGGCCCAATAAATTGGGACAAACACTATTTTTTTTGCTACGTACATCCCACATCGGATAGACAAAAATAAAATCGCAGCTACTTATATGGTTTTACAACCACCTCAAGACAAGAACATAATTGGACCGCTGGGCCGCGTAAACCGCTACTGGTTTAACGGTTTTGGCAGTTTTTGACCGGTTTCGAGCCCCAGCTGTTCCATGCCTCAAACCGCACAGGTGTACTAGCCGGTTCCCGGTTGAACCGGCCGGTCTGGTCCGGTTTTGACAACCTTGCTAATAAGTGAATTTCGAGATTATAGCCGATTGCTTATGGCTTATGGTTATGGCTGAAAAGCTAACTGATATGATGAAAATGTTTGGTAAAATTAGTTATAAATCAGTTGAAATAAAAATTTCGACGGCTTTATTTGAAAAGCTACTTAAACAAGCTTATTAGATAAGCTCAAGTTTTTAAAAAACTTGGTCCTACAAAACTAAATTTATTTATATACAGAAAGCTTATAAGCTAACCAAATAAGACATAAGCTAGCTTATGATGCTTACCAGACATACTTGTAGTTTCAAAATTTCTACATAAGAAAAAATGTGAGCGTTTGATATACCAAAATGCCCTCTTTTTTTNTCAAATATAAAAAACGACATTGTTATTGTGCCTTAATTCTTAAGAGATAAGAAACGTAGAACCTTCTTATCTTCTTTTACTTCATCACCGTTATCTCTCTCTTATCGCTCCCAAAGTCAGTATGGCATCAACTATGCTATTCTCTGCTCGTTCACAGTTGTCGATACCCCCAAGAATGTCATACAGCTCGGGTTTGGACGAAGTATCCGAAGAGGATCCTTTATAGCTCGGCGATGAGATCTCGAACCTAACCCTCGTGGATGCTCATAAGCTTTTCGAGTACCTCCAGGGCAAGGTCGGCGTCTTGGTCGAGTCCTTCGCGTTGGCTGGGCCTGCGCGGACGAGGCCAGCCTACCACCGCCGCCCATCCGCTGTTGAAAGTTGAACGGCGTGTCGTTGTAGGTCATCGGTCGTCGGGGGCTGATCGTTAGCGGCTAGTTCTAGTCTCTAGTGTAAGAAATTTAATGGGCATACTCATAATTATAAGGCGGAATTGAATAAACCCTCAGCATGTAATTCTATCAGTTCATAGAATATGGATCTTTTGCATAAATTAAATTGCACATAAAAAACTTACAAGAATCCATAAGTCCTTCCCTGTTTTCTTGATCTATGATGTTGATCTGCGATCTCTTTCTCCAATCTCCAATGATGGGTTCGTCTTGATCTATGATGTTGATCTGCGATCTCTTTCTCCAATCTCCAATGATGGATTCGTCTTTTCCTATGAATTGTTTCTCTCTCCTGTGTCTCTTGTCTTTTCACAAAGCCCTTGATGTTGAGAACTTTATTTCGTATGAGATGGGAGAGAGGGGCATGTAGTATATATAGGAGGAGTCCTACAAACCTATTCCTACTAACATTCCCCATGTTCTAACGTAACTTACTGTCCAAGTCAAACATCACAAATTGGACTCTTTAATATTAGAACATTAAATAATCCATTAAATACATATTCACCTTAAATAAGTTTGACTATTAATTCAAATAGGTCCAACTAATTAT